TATAAACCTGCAGAAATTTTGTTTAGTAATCTTTGTTTCATGAACACTTACCAACAATGTAAGTAAACAATATATAAAATGTTACCAGGGTACAATTGTCAGGATTTTGTGCACTCTGTAGAGCACTGTAGTAAAACTGAAAATGAATAAATACTATATAAATGAATAAAATGCATAAAAAAATAAATATATATATATATATATACTGTATATATATATTTATATTTATTTCACAGCATTACTATTAATTACTCCTTTGCTAAATGTTGTCTTTCAATATACTGAAGTTTGCACTCAGTAGAAAAATACAGATACAAATCTTTACTGTAGATTGTGCTCACCATGCAAATTTCTATGTAATCACGTACTTGGTAAACCTATTGTTAGGTAAAATTAAACCAAGTTTAATTCTCCTTCTAACTAATGAGCTATGTTGAATACATTAAATCTCTACATTAAGGACGTGAAATGTAGTATGTGTGGAATTCTAAAACTCTATTCCACATACTGTATGTTAAAAAATGTATAAAAACTATTGTAAAAAGTATTGAAACATCAAAAGGTAACCATAGATGTGAAATAGTGACTGTGATGATAATGAGGTCTGACAAACCCCAAACTGGGTAGTGGGGAAAATGGAGAAGTTGTACTGAATACACTGCTGCCCTAATTTTTCTGAAATTCGCAAAGTCAGCGACAAAAATGGTCAGATTTAAATATTGTCTGTGCTGAAGCAGGTGACAACTTTAAAATGCCACAGATCAGATTGAAACAATCTTAAAAAAAATCACAGTCTGCTCAAGACACAAAGTAAAGTCATGATAAATTTCAGTCAAAGTACCTTTAATAAATTCCATTACCATGACTTCTGAGGTCGTTAACCTCCATTAAGCCAGTCTCCTAATGCAGTCATGTTGTAAATGGCCTAGCGTAAATAGTCTGGTTTGTGACTCTGCAATACATCTGTTTTTGACTACACAGTTTCATTTTACACAATTTCCATATTTCCTTCTTCGATTAAATTTTTTCATAAAACATCGTGACACTAATATATAAGCACATAGCCATCAGGTAGACATCAAACTCGCCTACTTTATGAGAAGCAGAAGGTTAATAAAAATACATTTGCACTCCTAAGCAAAATATGCATAAGATTTATGTCATATTTGGTCTCCTTTGAATTGTATTTCCATTCTGTTTTTATTCCTTTTAATAATATATTGGTTGCTGGATAGTGACACCTTGTCATTTGAAAATATAGATATAGGTAGAAAAGTTGCCATTAACCACTTGCTGACCATGGTGTTTACACCCCCTTCCTGTCCAGGCCATTGTTCAGTATTTAGTGCTGCAGTACTTTGACTGACATTTATTCCGTCATGCAAAGCTGTACTGAAATTAATTTTATAAAAAAATTTGGGGACAGATAGAGCTTTCTTTTGGTGGTATTTAATCACTACTGGGGGTTTTATTTTTTACTATACAACGAAAAAGAAAATTTAAAAAAAAACTGTTTTCCCTTTATTATGTTAGGAAAAATGTATTATTACCCAATTGTTTGGTCAAATATAAAAGATGGGGTCACGTCACGTAATCGCAAAAAACTACCATACCCAAAATTGGCCCAAGGCAATGCTTTCAAAGATTTTACCGCTCATCAGTTTAGTGTTATCAGTGATTGATGGCCCTAAAATTCTTACTCTCACTGCGACGTTCGCGGTGATATGTAACAAGTGCTGCGTAATAGGTGCAATCTGCGTTTTTGCGTGTAGACGCACCTAACGCATTTGTGTGCATCTATGTGGGGGTGGGGGACTTTAAAAAAAAAATTGTGGGGGTTTTTTTTGTGTGTAAATTTTATTTATTTTGTGATAAGGCCCCTTGCATTCAGGGACCGGGTAGGAGAGCGGAGCGAGATTGTATACTGACCTCCCTCCTTTCTCAGTGCACGTTCGGGCATCTTTACATATTTTAAAACATGTAAACAATATGTTTTAAAATATTTTAATGCATGGCTTTACATTTCTATTCATTAAAACAATATGTTTTAAAATGTTGAAGCTGAATGTCTACATGCTATAACCACAAATTAAAGAACTTAATGCCTCTTTGAAGAAAGCTAGCATATTGTAAACTCTGTTAGATTCTTGTTCGGTTTGGCAAAGAATATCACAGGGTCTATTCACAAAGCAGCTGAAGGATCTAGCCGTAGCTCTGGCCGATCCTTCGGCTGCTTTGTGAATAGACCCTGTGAATAGATCCTTTTTTCTGCACTTACCCCTGCTGCACTGTCCAACCAAGCGGTGGGGGCCAAATGGAAAAAGTTGTGTTGTGGGCACTGCGTAAAGGGGCTGGCAATCAATAAAGGTTACCACTTAAACCTATCCATCTATGTATATCTTTATGTACTGTATGTATGTGTGTATCTATCTATCTATCTATCTATCTATCTATCTATCTATCTATCTATCTATCTATCTATCTATCTATCTACCTATCTTTCTATATACCTATCTATCTTTATTTCTCTATATCTATCTATCTATCTATCTATCTATCTATCTATCTATCTATCTATCTATCTATCTATCTATCAAACCACCACCATCACAGAAATCATGGGCTCTTTGGTTTCTGTAATGAGAGTATCATAAAAATGTTGCTTTCTTATTTTTGACAAAATGTATTGGAAAATAGAAAATAAATTTTAAAAAGACATATGTCACTGTGCCTGAAGTGAATAGCCGAACAGCGTTCAGCTCACTTCGCTTTAGGTCGGTCATTCACTCGGCTGCCTACGGCAGCTTAGTGGATAGACCCCACAGACATTTCATAACGTTCAGATGCTGTGAACATTTCTGTTAAAACATGTGGTGGCAGTTACCAATTGTGTGTAAAGGGTTAACTACAGAGTTTATCTACCCCAGTAACATCCACTCTCTCAGTCTGCTGCCAATTAGATTTTTGTCCACAAGCTGCAAACTTTCTACACAGCTTGAGGCTGCAAGTGCAATATCTTCACAGTGACCACATGTATAATCACATTCCAAACACCTAAGGATCCTTTTTGGCCAGGTTCGCACTCATGTCTCTAAAATGTGCATGTTTATGCTAAAAAACAAACTACTATTTTCTTATTTTGCCTTAAATTACAACTCATGGCATTAATAAAATTAACGCTTGTAGTGGGACTACCCCTGCACTGCAAGTGTCAAGTGCTCATTTTGGTCTAGGGTCTAAAATAAAAAGATATACTCACCCGATCCTTGGTTCCACCGCACTGAGTGCTCACCTCTCTCCCGTTCACTCAGCCTGTGGAATTTCCCTCACGCCCAAAGCAAGTCAATGGACAAGATGATGTCCACTGCTGAAGTGTGGGAGAAAAGAGGCTGTGGGGACCGGTCTAGCAGCCAACAGGACTGAGGATTGGGTTAGTATTCCTTTTTTTATTTTACACCCCTAGACCAAAAGGAACACTGTAGGCAGGGGGAAGCCCCCGGAGTTGCTCTTTAACAAAATTCACCAGCCATGAGAATACTGTTAACCTTTCCCCAGGTATGGCTACTGGTGTCTGCCCTGATATGTAGGAGACTACAGATATTAGGGATGCACCAGTACCGGTTTTCTGGTATGGAGTACAAGTACCAATACTATGCTTTCGGTACTCGCCGATACCAAGTACTGATACCGGTGCTTCCGCTGCCATGGAGCCAGCTTGATTGCCCAAGAAGCTGGCACCATGTTGTCCAGCCGGCTTGATTGTGCTTGACCTGGAAACCGGCTTCCCAGCCAATCAGCATCCAGCCGGCTTCCCTGCCAATCAGGAAGCTGGGCGGCGAGTAATGACCTGATCACACAGGAAGCTGGCTCCATGTTCCCCTAAAATCTTCCTCTGCCCTTAAGCTCCGATATCGGGGAAGGTATCGGAGCATTTGGGTGAGTACGAGTACTCGCCCAAATACTGGTATCGGTATCTGTGCATCCCTAACAGATATAGTAACTGACTATGCTAGGTTGGGCTGAAACCATTTGTTTAATCTAAAGCTTAGCACACTTAAGATTTCAACTACAAGCTTTATAATGTTTCATGTTATTTGTATTCCTAGATTCCTGTGTATTCCACTATGTTTGTGCCTAGGAACAAATGTCTGCAAATGGTTGCAAAAGATGGCAGAAGCAATCAGAAGTGGTCATTTTGGCACAGAGACGTACAAGCTTAGAAAAGTAAGACTTCCTGCCTGTTCAAGTTAATAATAGCCGTGCCCTTTATTTCTGACAGATCATCCTATATTTTTATATTGTTGTATAGTTTAAGCTGGTCATATACAGATACTGTACATTACATGTTTGGAAATTAGATAACAATTTAAATGCAAAGGTATTGTTACGTTCTCTCCAACCATACATCAATATATGTTCAGTGAGCAATCTAAATGTTAAACCACAGGTTTGTTTATGTAGTGTTTGTGGGTTTTACTTTGCAGTATCTTTTCAACTCATAAAAAAAGAAATTCGTAGGACAACAAGCTATTATATAGGGATGTGCTTAATATTAGTCAATGAGGTTGATTTACTAAAGAAGTAAGGAACATTGACTTTGCAAACAGCTTAGCTTTCTGAATAATGTTGAATTTGTTTCAATCACCTAATCATGTCACGCAGAAATCTTTCTTTTAAAAAAAATTTCCCTTGCACATTATTGGGTATTAAATATAAATATAGCTCCACCTTATTGCTGAGCTAAGTAAACATTTGCATCCTTCAGTGAATATTCTCTACTCCTTTAGTAAATCAGTGAGTTGTGTGTGAGTATTACGATTGCATAAAAAATAAATGCACATTATTATTGTCATATCATTATATTTTGTCCTTGAGTATATTGTGTCTGTATGTCAATTAGGCACGCACAATTAAAAAGAAATGATTTCTTGCTCTAGTTTTTGCAATAATATTGCTATTTATAAAGCATTATATTCATAGAACTTTTTATTTCTATATAGATGGTCCTTCTGGAAACATGGAAGCTACGAAACAGCACTATTGTGACAGAGTTTGTCCTGTCTGGTCTCTCCTCTGACCCAAACCTTCAACTGCCCCTCTTTTTACTCTGCCTATCAGTTTACCTTTTGACTATTTTTGGGAACTTTATGATCATTGTGCTAATTAAAATGACTCCAGCACTGAAAACACCAATGTACTTTTTTCTTATGAATTTATCTTTTGTAGATATATTTTACTCATCTACTATAACTCCCAATTTTATGGCCAATATAATCTCTGTCAACAAGACAATCTCTATCTCAGGATGTGCCACACAGATGTTTTTCTTCATTGATCTTGCAAGCTCTGAAGCCATGCTACTGGCTGTGATGGCCTATGATCGGTATGTAGCTATATGTAAGCCATTGTATTACACAACATTTATTAACCAATCAGCCTGTTTTCAGCTTATCTTTTCAGTATATACTGCAGGATTTCTCAACTCACTAACCCATACATATTGTGCATTTATTTTACCCTTCTGCCATTCAAATGTTATAAACCATTTCTTCTGTGACGTCAATCCTATTCTAAAACTTTCATGCAGAGATACTTTCATCAATGAGTTACTATTATTTATCATTGCTGGGTCCATTGAAGTGGGTTCTTTCTTATGTATAATTATATCATATAGCTATATTTTGGGTGCTGTATGTAGAACTGGCTCTTCTAAAAATTGGATCAAGTCACTGTCTACCTGTGCTTCTCACTTCAGTTGTGTAGCTTTATTTTACTGCCCAGTGTTTTACATGTACTTACGTCCAACATCTGCCTACTCTGTGAACGAAGACTGGGTGGTTTCTGTGTTCTATACAGTAATCGTACCATTGCTGAATCCCATAATTTATAGCATGAGGAACCAAGATGTAAAAGAAGCTCTAAAAAAAAAGATAATCAATTCTGTGTTGATGTATATGGATTGATATTACAATAAAAAACATCAGATTACAATTAGACACCATGAATCTACTGCACATAATATGACAACATGCTCTATAGTGTGTCAAGTGGCCTAATTTACTAAAAGGAAATACAGGAAAAATCACAACAAATATTATTAGCATGCTTGTGCTGTGGATTCCGATTTCGATTCCCTGTGCACCTCCATGTATGTATGCATTATTTAGTATTATAAAAGTGGTGCATTATTTGTTTTGTTCATTTATGGTTAAGAGGTAGCATAGCACCATACACACACACATACACACACCATAATTTTGGCTTTAAGGGGCGAAAATCTGAAGAACTATAGGTCCGCATGGAAAATTATGAAGCATAATGAAAACATACACAGTCCATAGTATCCCTGGTTGGGGTGGATCCAGGCCCCCTGTACTGCAAGGTCACATTCCTAACCATTGACAGAGCACCCCATGTGAAATGATTGTATGAACATGACTGAATAATTCAAGAATAAAAATAAATTGAAGCTGGCTTTTTACATTTGTATGTGTCTTCATTTTTTATTGTTTTAATGTGTGCAGAAATTCATGTATGGATGTGTAGCGCCCACCCCCGAAGGAGCCGCTAGAAATATATCCGGGTCATCCATAGCCTGTCTATGGAAGGGCTGCTGTACGGGCTATTCACTATAGCCCGTACAGCTCCCGAAGTCAGCCGAACGGCTCAGTCGAGCCGAAGGCATATGCTTCGGGTCGACTGAGCCGAGGTGAAAGCCGAAGCTGCTTCTGACAGCTGGGCGGAGCCAGCCGTGATCTTACGGCTGGCTCCGGCCACTTGCAGAGAGATCAGCGTCCCTGGTTACCAGGTAACCAGGCACACTGATCTCTAGGCAGCCCAACTCTCCCAGGCGCTCCGGGAGTCTCCTGCTATTAGATAGCGGCTCCCGGCCGCCCAGGAGAGAAACGCTTTCTCCCAGAAAGGTTTACTCTGCTCGATCAAGCAGGGTACACCTTTCCCTGCTCTGTTTTTTTTTCTGACTTCTGACATCGGAGCCGTTGGCTGCCGTCAAATTTTTTTTTGTTTTGTTTTAAATCACCATAGGAATGCATAGCTAGATTCCTATTGGCTATTTAAATTTGCAATAGCAAATAGCAAACTAGCTATTGCAAAGTGAAATAGCCATTAGGAATCTAGCTATGCATTCCTATGGTGATTTTTTAAAATTATTATTCTGACGGCAGCAGAACAGCCCGGCCAATAGAAAACAGTTGGGCAGAGCTAGCTGTCACTGCTAGCTCCGCCCAATGGTTTTCTATTTTATTTTTTACTACTATTTTTTACTACTTTTTTAACTGTTTTTCTATTCTGAGTCGAACTCCTTCTGTACTTCGGGTCGGCCGACCCAAAGCCGCACGAAGCAAGCCGATGTACGGTTGATTTCAGCCGATGTACGGCTGAGATCAGCCGTACAAGCCTG